CAGAGGGGCTCTGGTCATGAGGAAGAAGTGAGTGGCAAGGATGTTTGTGAAGAGTTTGATTGAAATCGTTTCATAAAATAAGCATGAAAAAAGTAATGCTTAAAAATGTCTTTAAATATCAAAAGCTAATGTTTATTTCATCTATATCCCTTTACGTATCTTCTTGAGTTTGCCAAAAACCTTTGTTTTCATGAGTTTTTTTTTTTTAAAGATTTTATTTATTTATTTGAGAGAGCAGAGGGAGAAGCAGACCCCCTGCTGAGCAAGGAGCCCAATATGGGACTCGATCCCGGGACTCCAGGATCATGACCTGAGCCGAAGGCAGTCGCTTAACCAACTGAGCCACCCAGGCGCCCGTTTTCATGAGTTTTTATTGGGGGAAATGGGAGATTACCTTGTAATTAGGATTTGGGCAAATGTGGTTTTATTTACATATTAGAATGAAGTATGGTTCTCATATGAAGTTCAATTAACTGTGGAAAGAAAATGACATCATTGTGTATAGAATTCACTTTATTAAAGTGAGTTTCAAACAAATGCTATTTGGATAAATTTGGTGGGGGTTGATCCTGTAGATATATAGTATTAATAACTTATTTATATTTTTAAATAATACATCAAATTAGAACGCTCTCTCTTATCCCATGCCCTGGCGAGAGATGGCCATTGTTTTCTGGTTCACAGAAAATGGTGGCATTCACTAAGTATAACTAGAGATGTTCAGTGATGTCTTCCCATTTCTTTTTCTTTCTGGTGTTCTTTTTTTCTTCAGAAACCATGTGAGTATTTCTCATCCTAATGAGTAACAGGTAGTAGTCCCAAATGATGCATTTTCTTGAAATGTTTGTGCAGAAAACTGTCTATTTCCAAGTTCCTCAGGGAAGGTATCACACTACTGAGAAAGGACTTCACTTTGAACTAGGACATGCTCCACGGTGGAGCTACATGAAACAGTGATTATGAAACAGGAAACACTGAAACACAACTTTTCTAGGCTAGTTATCTCTATGACAGAACTGACAGAACACAGACCCTCTTCTTCATAGTCTCCCTACCAGGGAAACTCCCCGCTCTGCCCCAAATCAGAAGCCATTGCACCAGTCTAAAGAGCTTTGCTTCTGAAGAAGTGAAACCTCATGAACCATAAGACGTAAATAAAAATAGGAAAATTATTGTTGCCTTGTATTAAAATAAACATGAGGAGACACATTGAAAAATAGGGAATAGACTGTGACATGAAACATTAATTTTGGTCAAAGTGGGGATTTGGGGGCATGTATGTTCCATGCGAGTTTTAGGTGCTTCCCAATTCCATCTAGTCCAGAGAATATAATGACATGCACATGGAGGGCATCATTCATGTGAATAAGCACCTAGGGTCTAAAAGAGGTTGAGCTACAGTGTGTCCACAACATGGGCAGGGTGCTCTTCCAGGGGATCCTGGTAACAAGTATCACCAGTTGCTACAGGTGTCCTATTCCTGGCAGCACCGAGTATAATGCTGAGGATACAATAGGTGGTTAACAAGTGCAAATTAAACCAGGGAGTGTCTTGTCCATGTAGTTTTGGAAAGCTGGTGAAGGGCGGGTAGTGGGAATTTTAATTGCATCATAACCTTAAATTACTTTCATCATACAGGTATTTCTGTGGTACATACAGAAGAATGTGAAATTTATAGAGTTAACAGGCATTTATGAGAAAATAGGCCAGTATATTAAATTGAATAAAATATATGCCGCTGGAAAAATTATCCTGGAGTATTTATCAATGGCATGGGTGTCGATCCTCATGCTCACATAGCTGCTCCTCTGGCTTTTCCTCTGGGGCGAGCTCCTCTCCGAGGCCAAGGTCAGCTGCACCATCATCTTGTCTGGCTTCTCTCCATTCTCCGGTATGTAGTTGCCCAGGTCATTAACCTCCCCGTCACTGTAGCTGCCGTCCAGCATGACCCCGCGTGGCTGGGGTATGCCACAGGTGCAAGGAAGCTGCGAACACAGCAAACACACACTGGGATGCGAGCTCAGCTCCAGCTCTCAGAAGAAACCACATGCCAGTCGGGGGTTGCCTTTTCTAGTTTCTTTTATTCCCAGTTAGGGGAGGGGCATGGGAAAATAATGGTGTCGGCACTGCAGACATGCTAAAAGAGCAGGTGTCCTGTTTTGTTCCAAGTTTGCGGAGCGGAGCAACTCTGAGGGAACATCGCATCGTCTCAGAGACCAACCCCTGAAGGTTCATGATCAGATAATTGTCCTGTTCTCCCTGAGGTCATAAACTGATAGGAGCCCCGATAAGAATGTTTTCAGATAACATTACGTGTGTGTAGTGTGATCGGGTGGGGATTGAAATGTATAGCATTGTGGAAATAGTTTAGTCCTACTTAGTTCTAGTTCTCTGGAGGAAATAACCATTTGACTGCAGACAGGAGGAAGAAAGAAAAGCTGGGTGGGAGGGAAGATGATCCCGGGGGTCACATATGAAAGGAAAGTTCTTAGAATGGAGAATGTGCTTCCCTGGAAGTTTTGTTTATTTGTTTGTTTGTTTTTTTAATTACACCTCTGGGTTCACAAATACTTGTTTCACCATGTTGAACTGTCATCTATTTTTAGCACTAAACAATGAACACCACCATGATTAAAGGGACTTTGTCTTAATTAACTTGGCTTAGCTGCTGGTATGTGATAGGTGCTAAATAAATATTTGAAAGACTGAAAGATGTAGCCCAGGGTAAATTTCCCACTGTTTTAACATATTATTTTGTTTGCTTTTCACACCAACTGGTGAAGTAGGTGGAGGAGGGGGTGTCACCACCCCAATTTACAGAGAAGGTCTGACCTGCTTACGGTCCTGAGCCGGACCAGGCTCTGTCCCTGAGCAGACACCTCACTTGTGGTAAGGTCACCTTCTCGCGCAGCTTGCGCTCCTTGCGCTCCTGCACGGTGGTCAGGTAGTTGACGGCTGCGTACTCCAGCACCGACAGGAACACGAACACGAAGCTGACCCAGAGGTAGATGTCCACCGCCTTGATGTAGGAGACGCGGGGCATGGAGGCGTTCACGCCCGTGATGATGGTGGACATGGTCAGCACGGTGGTGATACCTGCAAACAGAGTGAGAAATAAGCAGGCGTTTGCCTTTCACTGAACCCCTGGGGGAGCTTCATGCCTCTCTTCTTTGTCCCTTCTGCTCCTTGTGCCTAGAAATCTCCATCTCTGCCCCTCTGTCTAGCAAACACCAAATCATCTCTCAAGATTTAGCTTTTTTTTTTTTAAGATTTATTTATTTATTTGAGAGAGCGAGAGCAAGAGAGAGAGAACAGAGGGAGAGGGAGAAGCAGACTCCTCGCTGAGCAGAGAGCTTGTCATGGGGCTGGATCCCAGGACCCTGAGATCACTACCTGAGCTGAAGGCAGACTCTTTACCGACTGAGCCACCCAGGCGCCCCTAAAGATTTAGCTTTTATGAAGCTTCTCCTGTTCCTCCACCTCTCATACTTACCCATTCCCCCCCTCCACATACTCGTGACACCTGTCTCACCTTGTCCTTCTGTAGAGAGCCCACCCTAGATATTTTTGGCAGCAAGATATTTATTTCCATTCAATTGGTTAAAACAGATTTATAGGGGCACCTGGCTGGCTCAGTCAGTAGAGCATGCGACTCTCAATCTCAGGGTTGTGAGTTCAACCCCCTACATAGAAATTACTTTAAAAAATAAAATCTTAAAAAATAGTAAATAAATAAATAAAAATAGAGATTATATATACAAGCAGGTATATATGTGTTTCTTTATTTTATTTTATTTTATTTTATTTTATTAGAGAGAGAGAGAGCATGAGAGAGAGGAGGATCAGAGAGAGAAGCAGACTCCCCGCTGAGCAAGGAGCCCGATGCGGGACTCGATCCTGGGACTCCAGGATCATGACCTGAGCCGAAGGCAGTTGCCCAACCAACTGAGCCACCCAGGCGCCCCTATATATGTGTTTCTTATAACTACTTCTCCAAAAAGGGGGAAAAGTGCACTAGGTATATTTCAGTACTTGTGTCCTTGTTGCTGGTGTAGAATCTTGCAGTCCTGGGCCTGTATTATCAGCTGTGAGAGCAATTCTGACAACCATCCCCATGCTGGACCTGGCTGCGCATTCAGCAATGTTGACTTGAGGATGCAGGGGTTAATTTTACCAAGAATGATGTTAACCTCATTTAGATTTTTAAAACATAGATTTTTAAAACTAGAATGTTTGTTTATTTAGCACAGTAACTGTTCAAGCTATAGAACAACTGTTAAAGGACAGGGCATTTGTCAGGGGTGTTTGCCTGGGATTTCAAATTAAGCTCAGAACATTTGCTTGGCAAATACCAAATCACAGGGGAATGGGGTCACCTTAAGGGCCAGCTCCAACTCAGTGTCACTAAAATCTGGGGGGGGTCACCCTCCCTCTTGAAGCCTCGGAACCATCTGAGCGATGGTGATGTGACTGAGTGGGTGTGACATTTAAGGTAAGGGAGAGAGTTGATGGCAAATAGCTATTCGTGAAATGCTTACGGAGTAGGGATTGTCAGACCTGAGTATGTATAAGAGTTACCGGGAGACCTTGTTCAAAATGTAGGTTCCAGTCCTTTCTCAGGGATTCTGACTCTATACATGTAGATGAGACAGGATTCTTCATTTTTAACAATTTCCCCCAGAGATTCCATTGCAAAGATCCCTTGGGCCTCCTTTAGAGAAACCCTGTTATAGAACGTGGTTTCCCTATGTAGGTAGGCAGAAAAAGCACCCACACACCAGGACCATCGACCCCAGAACACGGTTCTAACAAAACTAAAGGTAGGTTGTTTGCATGGGCACACGTGGGGCCCTGGAAACAGTTTTGCCACATAGGGTCTTAATAATGGCATTTTACCTGTGAATCAATAACCTGGTGTTTCCAAGATATCATGCCAACAGGGGTTTAGAAACAATTTGAAATGAATGGTTTCATCTGGAAGAAATTACTTGCATTTTCAGGTGTCTGAAAGACACACTTGAGATGTTCCTTACCTAAAGGGACTCTGGCGGGCACAGCTCTGCGGTCAATCCAGAAGGACACCCAGGACAGCATGACCATCAGGGTGGCAGGAAAGTAAGTTTGGAGCAAGAAGAAGAAGATGTGGCGTCGCAACGTGAAGTTAATGTACAGACGGTTGTACCAGCCTGGGGGACACAGGAAGAAAAGATCACACACACCATAGCGACTCAGCTCCTGCACACAACCCATTCTATTCAGGGACTCATAAACGCCTTAGACACTTCACTGGAAACTTGCCATACCTTTACAGAGTGGAAGTGAGAAAAACCATGGGATAGAGTGATTATGATAACCTACACCACATGGGTGAGTCCCTCTCAAGACATCTTTGGCCCCTGTCCTGTACGGAAAGGAAGCCCCTTGACAAGTCCATTTAAGACTCTTGTTACTCATCGTTTGGGGCAGAGTCCAGCAATGTCACCATCACTTGGCTGCTTGTTGGAAATGCAGACTCTCAGCCCCACCCCAGATCTACTGCATCATAATCTCCTTTTTTAACAATACTCTCCACATGATTTATATGCATGATAAAGTTTGAAAAACATTTATTTAAACAAGCCCCTTTAGATTTCTTTATGGAGGACAGTGATTTAAAGTTGAAATACCAAGCTAACCCAAACATTGCATTTAGGAACAGCGAACGATCACAGATGCAGCTATGCTTTAGCTCTACCCTTGTGTTCTCTACAAGGAGGAAATACGCATGGAGGCGTTCAAAGGAACAAGAGAAAGATGGAAGGAAAAGGAAAAAGCAGGATAAACCGGGGATGACGAGGACTGAACATGAAATGGAGACTTGGCAACACTAACTTGAAAGCCTGGCATCTTGGACAATCATAATGCAATGGTTATCATCGTAAAGCAGTCGCAGAGAGAGACTGTGGAAGTGCTGTAGACTGAATGTGTTCCGCCCCAAATCTGTATGTTGAAACCTAATCCTCCATGTGATGGTATTTGGAGGTGGGGCCTTCAGAAGTGATTACATCATGAGTGGGATTAGTGCCCCTCTAAAAGAGACCCCAGATTGCTCCCTTGCGCCTTCCCCCATGTGAGGACACAGCGAGAAGGTGGCTGTCTATGAACTAGGAAGCAGGCTCTCATCGGACACTGACTCTGCCAGCATCTTGATCTTGGACTTCCCAGCTTCCAGAACTGTGAGAAGTAAATTTCTGTTGTTTAGAAGCCACCTGGTCTACGGTATTTTGTGATAGCAGCCCAAACAGACTAAGACAAGAGGAAGTGTCAGAATGCTAAGGATGAAGTGGGGGTCCCCCAAAAACCAAGACTCCTGAGTGATGTGTACAGAAGATGAGATATGCTGGATTTCCGTGATATGCTGGGAATAAAAGAGTGCCCCCTGTTACAGATTAGAAGACTTAAAAGGTTGCACTTCCTGTGCAGTCATGCAGTGTTTGGGCAATAGAAACTACATAAAGAGGGGCGCCTGGGTGGCTCAGTCGGCTAAGCATCTGACTCTTGATCTCAGCTCAGGTCTTGATCTCAGGGTCATGAGTTCAAGCCCTGCGTTGGGCTCCACGCTGGGCATGGAGCTACAGGCAGGAAGGAAGGAAGGAAGGAAGGAAAGAAAGAAAGAGAAAGAAGAAAGAAAAAGAAAGAAAGAAAGAAAAAGAAAAGAAAGAAAGAAAGAAAAGAAAGAAAGAAGAAAGAAAGAAAGAAAGAAAGAAAGAAAGAAAGAAAGAAAGAAAGAAAGAAAGAAAGAAAGAAAGAAAGAAAGGAAGGAGGGGGAAGGAAGGAGGAAGGAAGGAAGGAAGGAAGGAAGAAAGGAGAGAGGGAGGGAGGGAGGAAGGAAGGAAGGAAGAAAGAAAGAAAGGAAAAAAGGAAGGAAGGAAGGAAGAAAGAAAGAAAGAAAGAGAGAGAGAGAGAAAGAAAGAAAAAAAGAAAGAAAGAAAGAAAGAAAGAAGAAAGAAACTACATAAAGATTTGAATAATATCATCCTGAAGGGTGATTAGTCAAGACCGAGGTAAGGGTTGGAGAGAGCTGTTCACCTCAGGGCCAGAAGGAAGAGCACAGGCAGGCCTCCAGGCAAGGAAGGGTGGCAAGCCCATTCCCACCTGAGCCTGGAAGCTCACAAGGTCATAAAGAGGGCCTGTGCAAGCAGTATAGTTAAGAGAGAATTCGTTCCAGGAAAAAGAAAAAGAGAGAGAGAGATTAGTTGAGTAGGACAGAGAGAATGGAAATCAACAGAGCTAAAACTGAACTGTTTCTTGCCTACAGAGGAGGGGGTTCTGGGAATCCTATGGGGGGTGAGATGTTAGCTGCTAAACTGGCAAAATGATTGGCTCAAACAAACCTCCTCACCTCGCTTATGTTTGAGGCCTTATTAATATTTTCTAGCTTATCACTTCGGTGCTTTGGTGGTGTGCACGAATCACCTCTCCCCCGGTGCTTGCCACCCCCTAGAGCCGACTTAGGATTTCCACCTTTGGCTTCAAATCCACGTGGCACAAGCTCGGCTTGACAACCAATTCACACCTTCCCTAAAACAGAGGACGACCCACCCAGCCAGGCTAACCCCCACCTGTGCTGCTGTAGAAAGCCAGTTTAGTGGTGGTGTGGAATTCCTGAATGAGGAACTGGGAGAGCGAGATCCGCTCATCTGTCTTTAAGGAGTCGTTGCCTTTTTTCCAGTACAGCATGAGGTCGTCCTCCGTGTAGGCATCTGAAAAGATGGGAGACAGTGTCAGGCACAGGCACGCGGCCGGGGGGAGACGGCCTGTCTGTGGGGCTCCGTGGGAGCAGCTCCTGGTCTCCCACACGAACTCTTGGGATGGTGGTAAGAGAGTTTGAATAAACAAGCCACAGTCTAAACAAAGCAAAGCAACATTTAAAAAAGACAACTTAATTCTCCCCAGTCTTCCAGAAGTCATCAGAGCAAAGCCCTCAAGCCTAAATGCTCCTAATTCCTGCAAAAGCGTTCACCCCACAATTCAGCCTGCCATTTATTAGGTTAACACAGATGAAATTGCTATACTTGCAGAGCAGAAATGATGAGATTGTGGCAAAACTGCCTTACAAACCTAGGCTGATTTAGCCCTTTCTTTTCTCCTTCCAAAGTGTAGTAATGCATCCACTGATGCCGAATATCTTTAAATACTCGCAAGGTAATAAGGGCTGCATTCTAGCGAGAAAGGACCCATAAAGTGATGGCCGCAGAACACAAGTCCCTTCTCTTGCAGGCTTCCGGGTGCTCCTACCCAGGATAAAATCACAGTGAGTCCCCCAGAAAGGACCACGCCCTCTGGTGCTGCCACATCCTGACCCTCGCCTACTTTAGGTGAGCACACACGTTGACTCCAGGTGAGCAAACCTACCTGCAGCCTGGACAGAACGGAGGTAAAACCTAACAGTGGCCAGTCCAGTCTGCTCACGTGTTAAACAGTTCTTTCTGGAGCTCCCGGATGCCCTGTTTCATGCCTCTGTTTTATTCTATGTCTTACCCTTGACCTGTGTGACGGTTGGTTTCATGTATCCACTTGGCTGGGCTAGAGTACCCAGTTAATCAATCAAACACTAAATTAGGTGTTGCTCTGAAGATGCTTTGTGGACGGGATGCCTACAACCAGTTCACTTGAAGTAAAGGAGATGATCCAGGATAACGTGGGTAGGCCTGATCCAATCAGTTGAAAAGCCTTAAGAGCAGACCTGAGGTTTCCCCAAGAAGAAGAAATTCTGCGCGTGGAGGGCAGGCTCAGGTCCCACCCGGGGGTTCCCAGCCTGCCCTTCCCGCCAGCCTGCCCTTCCCGCCAGCCCGCCCTGCGGATGGCAGACTTACCTCACCAGCCCCCACGCTCGTGCAAGCCAATTCCTTGCACTCAATATCTCTTACTATGTATCTCCAATATTCTGCTTCTCTGTGCATCCTACCTGATGAAACCTGGAAGACGCTCCATTCCCAATGGAGCTGCCTGGGTGTACTAGGGAAAGCAGGGTACTGGAGCCAATGAGTTAAGTCCTTAGTGCTATGTCCTCAGGCAAGTTACATCCTTCCATGTATAATGGAGATAACAGTAACCTTCTTCCAGGATCTGGTGAGGATGAGATGACAGCAGGTGGAAAGCTACTATGGTGTTGGTCCAGGGATTTATTACTCCCTCGGTCCTGGGATTTATTACTCCCTTTTCCCACAGTCAGTGCCCTATGGAGCTGTCCATTTGACCCCTGCATCAACATCCCTGCCCTCCTTGGCCCCAGATGGCTGGGGCCAGGGGATCCCTGACTCATTGCCACAAATGCAGGCAGGCTTACAAAGGTGCACTGTGTCAAAGAGATTCTTCACTAGGGCTTGGTCACCAGCCAGGAAGGGCCAGTGGGCGTGTGCTGGTATTCACTTGGAGGAGTGGGCCAGCAGGAGTTATGGGGGAGTCCAGACTGTGCCCACCAGAGGAAGCATTTGGGCAAAGATTGAAAAAGAGAGCAGTTGTGTAGAGAGCTGGAGATGCAAGTGAGCAGTCCTCGACGCTGCCTCAGTCTTGCTCTTCCTGGCTCTTAACCTGTGCAGGGCGTCCGTGTGTGCAAGTGTCCTGAGGCCCCTCAGTTGTGCCTGAGGCTCTCTAGCACCACCTATGTTCACCTTGGCAGTTCCCTCGGGCAATTGTTACCAAACTTGTTTTTGCCAAGAGATCTTTTTTTTTTTTAAAGATTTTATTTATTTATTTGAGACAGAGAGAATGAGAGACAGAGAGCATGAGAGGGAGGAGGGTCAGAGGGAGAAGCAGACTCCCTGCCGAGCAGGGAGCCCGATGCGGGACTCGATCCTGGGACTCCAGGATCATGACCTGAGCCGAAGGCAGTCGCTTAACCAACTGAGCCACCCAGGCGCCCAAGAAATCTTTTTTTCAACAGAAATCTTATTCAGAGGAACAATAAAACAGATCAAAAATGAGCTCACGCATTGGACGGCAGGTAGAAATAGCTGCACAAGGAGACACACATTTGCTGAGCCCTCTACCCCCCTCCCCAGCAGTTGCCCGGGTTCCCGCAGAACCAAGTTTAAAACCATTGCCATAGAGCATTTAAAAGGGTCAATTATGGGAACAGAGGTTTTAGTTTCAAATTTGTTCCTAATTTTCAAAATTACCCTGCACTTGGCTTTAATCTAAAAAAAAAAAAAAAATCGCTTGAAAAAAACACGAGCCATGAATGAGGAGCACATGCTGTTCCTGCTACTGAGAGTTAGCGGTGTTGGGAATCACTCGCCATCTGTGTGCTGATGTCCTGGACAGTCTACTCACAGCTTTCAATTTCAAGGGAGCACGTTTGTGTGTCCAGGGGAAATCGGCTGAAGTCCATGTTGCACATTGCAGTCACTGTAACCCTAGAAACAAAAAGACAAAATACAAATTTTCAGAGGCTGCAAAATGATGAACAGAAAAAGGCTCTGCTTCCTTCCAATATAACTGCCTCCTTATAATTCATAAGCCAAGTGTCAAGATTTAGATAGTCATTGTAGTACTCTGGGTTTTATGTTTAACTCCAGAGTGTCTCTACCAACTTCTATCAGATTCAAGCATATTAACGAAGCAATGGTCTCAATCGATATAAAAATGGGAAATAAAAACTCTTATGACATTGTTTCTTAAAAGAAACCATAGGACCATATATTGTTCTCTGGTTTTAGATAAATTCCAATTTTTTCTGTTCTTTTATTGATTTTACCCATATTCAATATTTGTATACAACATATCAGAAATAATATTAATGAAACCCTTCTGCCAGTGGCCAAATTGGGCACTTTTTTTTTACAATGTTGATATATTTATATTGATAATAATTATCTCCTAGTGGGCATTGGTGTTTTTAGTGGATAATTCCATGGAGATCATAGGGTAATGAAAAGACACTGAAAACTTTTTTGTACCAGCATGCAAGCACTTGCTGGCCTCTGATGGTTTTGTTTCAGAGTTTACACAGGAAAATGGGCTTCTGCATCAAAGAATAAATAAACACAGATCATGAGTCACAGACGAAAGATCTCCTGTCCCGTGGGGAATCTCATGGCAGGACATGAATAACAGTTATTGGCTGATACTGAACAAACTATTTTTCCTTCAACCACAAAAAAATTGCTATGTATAAGTTGTAGAAACTGTCTGGATGATTCATGGCCAAAAGGGAAAAAAAAATCACTTTTAATTGAAATGGAAATTTCAAGGGAAAGAGCTTTCTTGAAACTGAATTATCCAAATATCTGCTTTATTTTCCCCATTCCAGTTGAGTCTGGCATAGTTGTAATCTGAAAAGGATTGTCTATTGCTGGCAGCTGGGTAGCCTTATCTCCTCTGGAAATCCTGATAAACAGGGTGGATTGAGTGGGGAGGAGTCAGGATGGCAGCTGGACCCCTCATGGGTGGGCTTCTGTTTCTACTATACCTAATGGCATCCCCAGCAAGAAAGAAACTAGAACCTAAGTTTGGTGACTTAGAGCTAATGAAATCTCAAATGTAGGAAGTTTTTGCTATCAACAAAAGGATTGAATATCTCTTCTCTTTGCATTAGGAACAGATATTTTTAGAATCACAGATATCAGACTGGTTCTTTGCACCCTGACCTGATGTTTTTCCAACTTGTAACTCACACACCACACATTAAGCACAGTTTGTGGTTTAGTCCATACTATGTTTATTTTTGTTTCCCCATGTCTCTTTAAATTGATTTATTGGGGTGCATCTGGATGGCTCAGTCGGTTAAGTGTCCGACTCGTGATTTCAGCTCAGGTCATGATCTCAGGGTAGTGAGATCGAGCCCTACATTGGGCTCTGCGCTGGGTATGGAGCCTGCTTAAGAGCCTTGGGAGAGAGTTGTGGGCATGCCATGAACCTGACAAATCTTTTCCTCTGCCCACAATCAAGGCATCTTTTTTTTTTTTCACTTAAATCAAACAAACCTATGATTTCATTTGCGATGAAAAATCAAAGCATCTGTTTTTAGCCACAAGGAGGCTCACTGACAACTTTGATTCTGAACACACAGGAGGTTTTCCACTTCCTTGTTTGTTATGTAGTGCTTCTGTGATCACATCCAGCAGTGTGCTGGACTAGACTTCATCTGGCTCAGGAAAGCTGCCTGCTAGATTTTCAGGAAGTTTGTAAGCTGGTTGTTCAACAGAGCCATTATTTTTTTTAAAAAAGAGTTTATTTTTAGCAATCTCTACACCCAACATGGGGTTTGAACCCACAATCCCACGATCAAGAGTCACACGCTTTACTGACAGAGACAGCCAGGTGCCCCTAAATATAGCCATTATTAAAAATTAAATTATATAAACTCAAGCAACTTATATTTAAAACAAGCTAATAAATACTCAAAACTCATCCCTTCTTAATTATTTTACTATTATTGATACGCCTGAGGTTACATCTATAATGTTTACTTGGTAGAAAATACTAACAGTGTGCTACTATGCATTCTTCCCAACTCTGCATTGAGTGACAATAGGTTGGTAGTTTGAAGTCAGCTGTGATGAGAGTATTTACACTACAGAAATCAGCAAATGCTACAAATCTGGGCTTGATTTATTGTTTTGTAGATTGTCTAGAATTAAGAAAGCAGATTAAACCAAAAATGTGTTATATCTTTTTGCTATACTATATAAATAGTATAAAAAATTAAGGATACAGTCTTCCAATATTTAAAAGCTATTATCCAATTCAGCAAGGAAGCTGCTATGTCTTTGATGAATGAATGAAGTTCCTACATAGTCCTTGGCTGTTTCATTTTTGTCTTACTAAAGTAAACAAAAATAGGGGCACCTGGCTGGCTCAATTGGTACAGCATTCGACTCTTGATCTCGGGGTTGTGAGTTAGAGCCCCATGTTGGGTGTAAAGATTACTTAAAAAAAATAATAAAGCAAACAAAAATATCAACAATCATTTATCCGATCTACACTCATTTGTAAATCACATAATCACAAAAATGTTTACAAACATTTATTCATAGCATGATTTTATAGAATTATTGTTGGCAATAGAATTATAAAAAATAATAGTAGGTTATATGTCAATTATATCTCAATAAAACTGGGAAAAATGGGATTTTATAAGAAATAGGAAATCATACTGAAGTTGTAAGTGTATGGATTTATAACAAAAAGTATTACATATATTGTTTCACTTATAAATCATGTACTTTACATCCTTTGTATCAGCCATGTTTATAATAAGCTTATGTACACATATGTATGCATACGTTCACCCCAGACAACCAGTAGTTAAATATTTACCAGCATACCAGTGGTCACGTGCATTACGGTCTAGTCTTGTGTGTCCCTGGTGGTGCCATCAGGTTGTGCTGTTTTGTGGGTGGTTTTTGAGCTTTAGGCTGTCTTGACAGCCTGCCTCAGATGTGAGGACTCCAGGGAAAACCAACCCAACATGGCTGGGGGAAGGGACTGCACCTCCTTGACCCTCCTGAGTACTTCTATGGGGGCGGAGGCATTTTAAGCTGTGGAAAGGAAAACCCCATACCTCAACTCTGAGCCTAGCAACTAATTGCTTTAGGTCCCAAGCCAGGGTGGGTATTGAGGGGTCATCATAAATATTCCTTTGGAGGGTGGGGGCAGAAATTCAGCTTCAACATTGCCATCTTTGACCCAAAAGATACACTGTGCCACTGTCCAGGCATCCCGTACTTAGACACTGGTGTATGGATTCGTCTTTACCGAAACAAAATCTTTAAAACTGAAATACACCAGGGCGCCTGGGTGGCTCAGTTGGTTAAGCGTCTGCCTTCAGTTCAGGTCATGATCCCAGGGTCCTGGGATCGAGCCCCGCATCGGGCTCCCTGCTCAGGGGGGAGTCTGCTTCTCCCTCTCCCTGCCCTCCACCTGAGCTCTCTCTCTCCATCTCCCTCTCTCTCTTTCTTGAATAAATAAATAAAATCTTTAAAAAAAAAAACACAAACAACAACTGAAATGCACCATGAGCCCAGCACAGGAGGAGTAAATCAGCAAGCAGAGCCCCTTCTCCTTGAAGGACTGCGGCTCATCTGCACACATCCGTGCCCCCCCCTCCCCGGGGAAGGGGGGCACCATGAGTTTCTAAAGCTGGCCGACAGTGAAAACCAGGCTGTGGCGCCTGTGTTTAAGGAAAGCTTCTCAAGGTCAGTAATTAACGAGCGCTTGAACATTTCTAAGGCATCTGCGCTCATAAGAAAAAAAGACTGTATTCTTCATATTTAAAAGTGATGCTCAGAATACCATTTAAAGTCATAAAGCAGCCCGGGATTTCCAGTTTTTCAGTAGGACACTGTGGTGAGAAAGGATACCAAACATGCCTGTGGCTGGTCAGGTCAGCTAAGAGAATTTCTCCTAGCCCAAGTTCTAAAATATACCTGAAAGATGGGAACTGAGACATCTAAGGAGGCAAATCTTTCAGAAGAATACATTATCTATTTCGCTGAATCCCACTAGAGTCTACATAAAGAAAACTAAATAAAACTTTGATTAAAGTTTTTAAATTAAAATAGAACCTCCAGGATAAGGCCTAAATCTTAAGTATCAGCTGGAGAACTTCCCACAAATGTGTTTATTTATTTTTTTTTTTAAGATTTTATTTATTTATTTGACAGAGAGAGAGAGAGAGCAGGAACACAAGCAGGGGGAGTGGGAGAGGGAGAGGGAGAAGAAGGCTTCCTGCCGAGCAGGGAGCCGGATGCGGGGCTCGATCCCAGGACCCTGGGATCATGACCTGAGCCGAAGTCAGACGCTTAATGACTGAGCCACCCAGGCTCCCCACACAAATGTGTTTCTGAGACTAAATAATTCCTTACAATTTTTTCTCCTGCGTAAAATTGGTCTCCCTTGACGTTGAAAAGGTGGCGCCTCCTGAGAGGTTAGAAGCTGGCTATTGAAAGCCAAAGAGCCAAACTGCCCTTGTGGTTAATGACCTGCCTTTCCGCCCCTGCTTCAGGAGTCAGGGGACCTCCAGGTTAAGGGCAGAGCGCGGGCGCAGGGGGGCTGCCAGGGCCTTACCGGAGGCTGTAGAGAACTTTCCCGTCCGGCTGGACCCGCAGCATGACGTTGTCCGTGGTGGTGTCGTGGATGAAGGAGCGCTTGGAGTGCACGAAAAACATGTCGGGGACCCAGATCTTCTTCACTAGCCGGCCGTCAAACGTCATGCTGAGGTTGTTGGTGCTCGGGAAGGACAGCCTCTCGTCCTTCCAGTAGTGCCTCAGGTAGAGGGTCATCGTGAAGTCCTGGAGGGGAGGGGGAGAGAGGGGAACCCCACGCACTGAACCTACTGGGTGTCTGCAGGACCCGGGGCGCCCCGTGGAGCCATCACCTGGCTGGGAATGAAACCGCAGAGTCGAGGTCTTGCACCCGGTCCCTGGGGTTTGCTGCAGTAGGAGGAGGACTGCAGGGGAGGGACTCAGCCAGAGACTTCTGGCAGAACCCGTTTCCGCAGCCCATCCCCCGGCATCTGCCCCCACACTGGCAACGTACTGCCGCCAGCACTGCTGACCCTCAACGTGCTGGGGGGACGGGGTGGGTGGGAAGGGCTAGATAAGCACCCCAGCTCCTTGGGCCCTCAGCTGGGATAACCCGGAGTGTGTTCTTCGCTGACTCTCGGAGCTCCCCCAGTGGGACTGAGATTCACAGTGGTAACTGGTTTGAAGGCAGAGGCCTTTTCCTTTCTCCCCATCCCTGTCTCACCTCCCTCCACTCTCCTCATGTTTCCGGGGGTCACCTCCCAAATAAACTACTTGTGCTAGAATGTTTCTCTCAAGTCTGCTTTTTGGAGAACCCAAACTAAGATAAGGCTGTAAACAGTCCTGTAAGTCGAGGAGTTGTAGAACTTTCCATTTTCCCACCTAAACCCACTAACAAGGGGAAAAGGGGACCCCTTTCAGCTGTTCCGCATTTCCATATCCAGATACAGGATCTCCAGCTGTAGAACATCTGGCCATTGACAGCTGCAACCTTGGACCCTACTGTTTCTGTGGAGAGCCTTTGCCTAGAGAGCACATGCCCGTGGCAAGAGCCTAGGCACTGGAGGGAGATCAACTTTGCCATCCAGCTCTGTCTCATACCAATTGGGTGGCTTTTGGCAAGAGTCTTAACCTTCCTGAGCCACCTATAAAATGAGAATGGGCATTCCCATGGCCCGGGGAGTTGTGAGACCCAGTGAATTCGGGTGTGTGGACGTCCTGGCCCAGCACAGGCCCCGTGTGAATCCACCTGCCCACAGCCCCAGCAACAGAAGCGCTTACCATGTCGACCTCTGAGATACTGTCCAAGCTCTCCACCTGCACATCCACACCGACAGGAATGGCTGGACCTGCAAACGGGGCGTGGCAAGAACATTTATTCTTTTTACTTGAATTTTTACTACAGGCATGAGGAGCGTTCCCCCTGGAACCCGTTTCCTCAGGCTCCTGCCAGATTTGAAGGTTTGGCGTCCCCACATGTCAAGCTGAAGCGAAGCCAGAAATCAAAGGGTTGAATCATGGGCTGGCTCCCTGGAATATTCCAGCAAAGGTTGCTGTTGTTTTGTTTTGTTTTTTAAAGCTTTTGTCTGAATCATTCAGGTGATTCTGAAACGATGAGCTTCCTCTGAAGCTTTCTTCTTTGGTTACACATGCTCATCGAAAGGTACAGTGAAGACCTAGCTCAAAGTTGGGTCTAATCTAAGGATTTACCCCCTAGCACGAGGTCGTCTACTTTATTCTTTATGTTTGCCTCCTGATTTTGTCATGGAAGCCAATGTCTCTGTCTGGCCATGAGAAAGGCACTGCTTGGTAAATAGGCACCCAGAACCAAAGCCACATTCAGGTCGTTTGCCAAGCCCACAGATCTGCATCTTTGCCACATGATGGAGTCGCTCCCAAGGGGGACATGATGCACCAGGGTGGCCTTGGAACATTAGAATTTTTTTTTTTTTTTTTGGCATTTCTAGGC